TAAGATAATCTTATATATAATCTTATATATATTAAGATAATCTTATACATAATCTTATATATTAACATAATCTTAATATAAGAAGATAATCTTAATATAATCTTAATATAAGAAGATAATCTTAATATAATCCTAATATGATAATCTTAATATAACCTTAATATGATTATATTAGGAAGATATTACGAAGATAATCTTAATATAATTATATTAAGAAGATAATCTTAATATAATCTTAAGAAGATATTAAGAAGATAATCTTAATATAATCTTAATATGATTATATTAAGAAGATAATCTTAATATGATCTTATATTAATATGATCTTAATATGATCATATTAATATGATCTTAATATGATCTTATCTAAAATAAGAGGACACGTAAAATATAATAATAAAAAAAAGGAAAAGAAAAAGAAGAAGATAAAAGCTAATCAAAATACCCATAAGAGTTGAACTATTTGACATTTTATCCAATAATCTACTCAAGACCATATGCATTTTCATTGGTAATTCGAATTTAAATAAAAAAAGTGGGAAAATTATTAAATCTATCATCCTAATGGTTTTTTAAAAATAAAATTTTCAAAAATGGAAAAAAAATACAATGTTATATGGAATTTAAGTATAAATAAAAAGAAAATTTGTTTTCTATGGGGCAAGACCTCACATCTATATATGAAGTCCATAAAGTGTAAAGCATCTATCTTAAAGATGGATGCAAGTAGGTGTTCCACCTAAAAACAATGGAAACTAACGGTCCAAATGTTTCTTACTAGAATTATTATTTTTAGCTTTTAAAATTTATTTATTTATTCATATTCATGATCTCCATATTAGATGTCCTTAAAAATTGTATTTATTTTTTAAGGAGGTTATATGTCCTTAAAAATTAAGTCTTAAAATCCATCTAAAAAATAGATTTATTAAGAAGGCCGCATTTCTTCATATATGGGCTAGGCCGCATAGAAACCGGTTCCTAGATTGTATACTATGAGACCATTTATTTTTGGTAAAAAGATTTCACAATTATTTTTAGCCATTGCATATAAAATCCAATAAATATAAGTATCGCAACAATCGAAAAAGTCATTTTGGACTTTATGCCCAAACAATGACATATCATCATGCATCTAATTTCAATTCTAATAGTCAATACTCATAGAAAATTGTTTCATACTGACTGGACCACATTTCTACATATGCAGTCCAGAAAGTGTAAAGCATCTTTCGTAAAGATGGATGTAAGTAGGTGTTCCATCTAAAAACAATGGAAACTAATGGTCCAAATATTTTTTTAAAGGATTTATTATTCTAAATTTTAAAATTTATGTATTTTTTCATATTCATGTTCTCCATGTCTTATTAGAATTATTATTTTTAATTTCTAAAATTTATTTACTTATTCATATTCATGTTCTCCATGTTAGAGATCATGGAACCGGTTGTGGGCTTAGGCGCATAAAAACTGGTTCCATAATAATTTTGACAGCCTTATATCAAAAGTAAATAGTTTTGTTGAATATATTTTCATAAACATATATGAAATTATTATCAATTTTTAAAAATTAAAAAGCTTTTTATGTTAACTTCCCTAAAATATGAGAGCATTTATTGGGTGCGGTTTATATAAGGCGCCCTCCTCTTCTACAATGTAGAAGTAAGGACGCTTCTAAATTTTTCCTCGAGATGTAGTTCCAATGTAAGAAACCTCATGATGACTTTAAAATCTATTTTCGTATCTAGATATGTAATTTGAAATTCTAAAAATAGTACGATCTATAAACACTTGAAAATTTTAAAACTACATGGTCAATACATCTGGTTACAAGAAGCACTTTCTTTAGTGCTTGAAATTTTTTTTTTTTTATAGACGTGCATCTTGAAGTCAAGATGATCAATTGGAGGGCTGTCCAAGAACACTCTTTTATATATGCTTTTTTGATGTGTACGTTACTTCAATATTGTAAGATTGGCACGTTATATTATATAAGTGTTTTCCTTTCTTTTATGATATAAAAGAAGAATAAGTCCAATTCTATCGTATTTTTTAATGTTCTCGACGTCTCTCAACGAAACACTAACAAAAAAAAAAAAACTTAGACATCTAGGATTAGTAGAGAGAGAAGAAAAACTTAGACATTAGTGAAATTTAGACAAAAAAAATGAAAATCAGAAAAACAGAAGGGGATTAGAGAGAGAGAGAGAGAGTACTAAACTTCAAACATAAAAAAAAGAATGAGAAAAAACGAAGGGGATTATATTATATAGATGGATAGAGAGAGTATTGTCAAGAGAGAGAGGGGGTGGTAAGTTTTAAATACAAAAAATTGAAAATTAGAGAAAGAGAAGGTGACGTGTGTGTGCGTGATAGAGAGAGAGAAGTTTTAGAGAGAGAAAAGGGGATTTATAAACTTAAAAGACAAAAGGAGCAAACTTCAATAGTTGGAAATTAGGAATAAGATTGTTTTAAAGTGAACTTTTCACATAAAATTGATTGTTTAAGTGAAATATACACATAAAATTGACTGTTTAAGTAAAAATTTCCCCTAAAATTGAACGCAAATGAGCTTTGATACTGACCTTTAAAGGAAGAACTTTTGAGTAATCTCTCAATCCACTTTCTATCAACAACACTGTCATCAACGGCCAATACATGAGGCTCCTCTCCATCACCCAATCTATTTAAGCCTTCCATTTTACTCCAAAAAAATTAATGACTTTTTTTTCAAATTTATTTGAATGATAATCTCAAACAATCCACAGGAGAACCCCAAAACTACAAAGAAAACCAAAGGAGTTTAAAAAGAATACTACCCAATTTATATAGAAGTAGAAGAGAGATCTTTACAGCTATTGCGTGATACAATTTACCTATCTTTTATGGAATATCTTTTGATATTATTATTTATAGAAAAGTAGAAGAGAAATCTTTACAGATATTGTGTGATACAATTTTTACTTATCTTTTATGGAATATCTTTTGATATTATTATGGGACTGGACAATCCTAATCTCCCCCATCTCGAATCTTCTATGAAATTTTTGGATTTTTTTTTTGTTTTATTATTATTATTATTTTTTTGTATCCGTAATTTTTATTGGGTTTATTATGG